CGTGCGAGCTTTGCTGATGTAAAGAACAAGGTTATCTGAACAAATATTTTACCTGTAGGAGCGAGAGTAGGCAGCAAAAAAAGGCCTGTTCATTGTTATTGTTCCTAGGATTCTGGCAAACTTCAATCGACTTGAGAACAAGTCAGTGTCGAGCGCTTGCAATGGAAGAAAACGTAGTTGTATAGCTGTAAATATATTTAAAATGGAACGGCGTTGAAATGAGATGTTTGTTATAGAATTCTGTTAGACGTAAGTAGTTGCAGTTTGCACTTGCAACTTTTACGGGAGCGTGCGTTACGTAAAATATTCCACCGCATCAATCATTGTAATCTGCATAGGTAAGACAGGTCCTCTACTGTTGTAAAAATTATTTTATGCATACAAACGGAAACATCTGGTATCATAATTCTTCAAAGCACGTGAAGGTCTAAAAAGCTGTCACTATTCTATCTAAAAGCTGTTACATTATCTTGCAGTTAGTTTCATGGTGTTGGATACATCATAGGCTACAATATTTATAAAGAAATATTCTAGAAGATATATGATGAAATCCCTTTATTAGTAAATATATGGATATTTTCAGTGTCGATATATCTTCTTATCCGTTACGTTTTGAAAAACTGTGAATAATTACCAGCCATTTTGTTTTTATAGATTCGATTTTTCGATCGAGATTTCAGGTGGCTCACATGGTCCTCAACAAAGAATGATATGGCCACCAAAAGGTAAGCGAACCGGTGATGGAGCGGTTGTTGCGGCAGGGTTCGTTGAAAGAAGCCCGGTCCTACCTAATGTTGATTAATGGGCGACTGGTAGCCGTTTTTACTACAGGTGTAGATCGTTAACAGCTACCTTCATGCTGAAACGCTCCAGTGCAGTCTTCAACGGTAAACTAGTGCGTTATACACTTGCTTTTCAACGAGCTTGATCTTAACGTGACGCCCAGTGTTCATGTGAATACTTGAACCTTTTTTACGTGTTTGTTCAAGTTTGCCCCCGTTGAGTCGAAGTGCGTTTAACCCAGCCAGTTACTCTTCCCAGTTCTCTCCAAGTAGCACAATGTGTGTGCGTTGGCCTCCAGGCGTCCACATGTTTCGCGAGTCGCTTCCTTTTTGGTAACAAGGCGTAAAATGGAATAGGCTGGTGTGGCTACAGATTTATCAAATAGAATTACTTTTAGTAAAAGTTCAGCGATAACGTTAGCAAGTTCGCGAAATATGACAGTGATCCGTCGTCCTGAATTTATTAGGCTGGAATTAGTATCACCTTTTTGCTCCTTAGCTGTCAGTTTCTTTCTGTTTACTCATTGAAAATGTTTTTTTCTCTATTCTCTATACCTCGGTTGTACTGTTGTAGTTGTACGGCGGACGCATAATACAAGCTTTGGCGTAGAAATTCGGGTCGCAAAGGATGGATGTTTCAAGTTTAAAAAAAAAAGTACCTATTGCTGGTTTTTGTACTAATCCTGTGTGGTATATTCATCAAACGTATCAGACAGTCAGACGTTATCGTGTGAATCAGACTAAGGAATTTGTCAGAACTCTCTCGCATTACCGATAATGTATACTTGGCTAACGCCAATGTCTGACCATCATCACAGTCCTGTGTAATTCGGTTTTTCATTGAGGTCGATTGGATCATGTTTTTTTTTTTCAACATAACTCAGTGAAACTCGAAGCCCGTCGATATAATTGTAATTAAAAATATTCAAATGATTTAACAATGTACATGTATTGCTACAAGGAACGCTTTAATCACTGGATGAAGCTACAGTGGCAGACACGAGCTGCAGCGACTAATCTTACTCTCAAAAGTTATTCCTCTTTAAGCCAATATCCTACTCGACGTACGTTGTAACTACACAGGTCCTCCAGGTAGAGAAATGATCGTATCACCTTGGCTCGTTAATAAATTGGTTTCCGCCAACTCTTGACGACTGTCGTGATATTCACAGGTCAAAAAGTGTTAGTAGGTCTAGCGGTCATCTACAGGTCCGCAACCATATCGGCATGCGTCAAAAGGCCTCCAACTATAGTCTAGCTATTAATACAGCCAACCATGCTTATTTGCCTTTGGCAAGAAACGATCGAATAGCGCAGAAAAATTGATCGATAATGACGTTTTGACAATCGAATCTGTCATTTCACTCGTCGAGGAACTTTCTATCTGCACCTGTCAGGGCATGTTAATCTTCAGATGAGCTGGGTTTCGATGAACTCCAACTAGTGCCTTTCATTATACACAAGGGTAGAGGTTGAAGTGTTATATCCGTATAGTATTTGTCTATCACGTTCCTCACAACGATCGCCTATTTGCGGTGTATTAATAGAAATGCGTCTTTACCTATATATTACCCTCTTAGTTGAAATCCGGTCATGACAGATATTGTTGTTATGGCAACATTCAAAATACGCTCCTAGGCGAGTTCTGTTGATCGAGAGCTCTAGTTTTTTTTTGTCCAGCAATTCTTTGAGTTTAACGTTTATCCACGGAATCTTTTAAGGCATCCATATGTGACATCAGACGGCTCCGAGAATATGGTTTTTTTTGTCAACAGGAACTTAGTCTCTGTGCATTATATTACATCATATACAGTCCCGCTTATTAGTATTAATAGTTTTTTGCGAAATCGGCAATAGTTTGTTGTAGGCTCTTCTTACTTTGTGTGTACATGTAACTCTTCGAATCGGCACAAAACGCTACGCAGTAAAACCATATCTCGTTTAAGAGCTTAGTATTTGTTATTTTGAGCGTTTACTGTCTTGGGTGACTTGTGCCAGAAGATGGTTCTACTATCCAAATCATAATCACTTTAAATATATGCTCTTTCCTTCACAACGATCTCAACATGCGCAGTAGATCAAGGACCTGAAACAGAGGCTTTAAGGTCTAGTGACAAAGGTTCGGCTAACCAGCAATCAACTGTATGAACGCCAAGAAAATGATCGTTTCATTGATTTTCTAACGCTAAGGTTGATGGCACAACTGGCCTTTTGGCAGCTACAAGCCAATTTTTCCCCCAGCCGTTCACACTGGAGGACTCAATATTATATGTCGCATTGCAGAACTTCAGTACGTACGAGAGATTCTACTGCGTATCGTTCCGCTTAAAAAAAACCATACGCCTCTCTGCTTTAATTTTTTTTTATTATGCACCTTCGACTGAGCAGCTGCTGCAAACATTACATATAATATGTTTTAAATGACTGAACAAATCTGTACCATTTTGACCATAAATATGACCAATTATTTTCAGTGATTCGAGGGACTTTAGCCATTTTTGTTTTTTTTTCCATTAGAAAAGATCACTTCGTTTTAGGTTTTGAAAACATCCTTAAGGCAAATGGCTCATAATTTAACTTCGAGAATTTACTTCAATATACAATTGAAAAATAACGGTATAATGCACATACGTATTGTAGGCCCCGCACCTTTGTCTACAAAATTCGCACACAAAGTATATTGTGTAGTTAGAGAATAATATGCCCTAAACTATTACAGTTGCTCCTCTGAGATCGGACTCTTTACTACTGAGCAGGCCAATCATCCTGATTTCTTTGATACTTTACATACGGAGGAAACTGGCTAGGTTAGTTCATTATAAAGCCTTCCGATGTCGTGAACTAAGTTATTGAGACATAAGAAATCTACCGGTAACAAATGTGTCCAGCATACTGATATGCCTACTATACGTGTATGCTGCATGTGGGCATGCGATTGTAATGATTTTGGTGGTGGGTTTGCTTTTCTGGTCCACATGTGCATATAAGGCGAAAATGGCAGATAGAAAAACAAGACATATTAGAGCAAGTTTGTCGCGCTGCGACCTATTAACGTCGTTCTCATCAAACTTTACGGGCTAGACAAGACAATACAGGGGCAGAAAAAAGCCCGCATTTGCCTTTTGCCTCACGCCTTCATACAGCAAAGCTAGATAAATCACGTACGTATGCTTTTTACAACGACGTAGCCAGGCGACCTCTGTCTTGTCTCTTCTCTACATCCATTCTCGGCTGGTATTCTGCTCCTTGCCTGCTACTTAAGACATACCTACTGTCGCGCCGACTGCTGTCGTTTTTGACTGTGCTTTTTCTCATCCTGAGGCTTCGAAGGCTCATCGATAACGAATGATGACGATGGTATAGGAAGGAACAGACAGAGTGCGAAAGAACATCGAGTCATAGGCGTGTTTGTACGGACGGTGCAGGTGGGGATAGAGAGAAAGAGCTTCTATTCGACCCACACTTTTGACGAGAAGCAGTCTGAACGACGGATGGACTAATGGGCCGCTGCCGCCCCATAAGCCGCCACGACTATGAGCCGGCAGAGCCCGACCTGCTAGCGGTTGCGTCCATCCGCGTTTACTGCCGCCTGATTCATCTGCTGGCGGTAGGCAACGCGGATTGCTGAGCTTGGTTGAGTCGAGAGAAAGGAGACGACCAGGGGGCTTATATGTTGAGGGGGTTGGGGTGAAGAAGGAAAAGCGAACAGGAGGAGGAGGACCGAAGGATGGACAGACTCTAGAAGTATCATTGGTCCAACAACAGATTGTAGAACAGAAAAAATCCTCATCGAACTCGCTAGAAAATAAAGGAGCGATAGAATGGCTAAATTTTGCAGGTGAGTGATGGCAGAATAGACTTTCTACGCATAGTGACTTATTTGATGTAACGTTCAGTTTTATTTTTACTTACCGAGAGCGTGTGACGTTGTATGACAGAATTAGCACAAGGACCTACAAACTAACGCAACGAATCGACGAGGCGCCAGCTAGCATGAACTCTCTCACTGGCTACTGCTGGCTTGTACGGACCGCGGGTGACAGGCTGTGGGTACGCAAGACAGGACAGAAGCATGGCGCGCTTCGCACCGCTAGGGAAAGGGTGTAACCCTCGGATAGTTGAAGGGGAGGGCAGGTTTCGGCTGTTCGAACACAACGAAGTAACCACTCGGCGGAGTTCGAACACCGGCGGGCAGTCAGTCTGCTAGGAAGTGTCGCTGCGGAGAGGACTAGCGTTTCTGAAGCGTGGACTGTCGTTTTAGTGCATAAATTTGTGGAACAAGACAATATTACCTGCAATTGCGTCAGTCACTGCTTGCTCCGTTACACCAAGATGAAGAAAACTGGCCAAGGCCGATGAGGTATCAAGAGCCTAAGAGTGCGTGGGCCTATTAATGTTGAACCAACGGGAATACTTAACATCAGCTACATCTGACAAAAACAAAAAAAAAAGTAGCAGCTTCGGTACTTCAGGGTACCCGTAGAACCTAGTGGGTTTGATTGTATGCGTGGGACACAGTTGAGCGATCAGGAAAACGGAATTAGGCCGCGCCTCGTGACATCGAGATGGTATGGAAGATACTTATCATGTATCAAACCGCATTTATTTATAATCTTGAAGTGGTACACTAGCACCCTTGAGCAGCAAGATATTTGAAAACATCGATTGATTCTTTTACTAACGGATTTAAATTTATAGTAGCTCATCGTTACGATTCTTACACAAGGTCGTCGCTTACACGACTGGCTAGCTGGCTAGTCGGACCCAAAAGTAATAATAAAACCAGGATTACGACGCGCTACTTCATCACCAACGAAATACTGTGTAAGATGACGAGAGGGCCTTTCGATGATGATGATGATGATGCCCTTTTACGGGCTTCGATTGCTATAACGGAGAAGTAATATTGTTAACAGTTAGTTGAATCGTTCCGCTTGACATGCAGAAAGAGAAGTTACATGCGTATGGGCTTTATACGGATAGATGATCTATCCTGGCTTCGAAGTGCTTGCTTTTTGATGCAAAAGAGAAGGCTGTTTGAATGAAGTGATTGATACGCAAGGTAAGTAGAAGAAAAGCCTTGCTGGCCCTCCTATCGTCTCTGACGTACTGGGCTTTCGCAGCCCTGGCTGGCAGGAAGTATAGGATACGGTGTAAAGGTCTTTTGGATCCATCAATCATTACGGCCATCAAAACAAATCTAGAAAGTTTCTTCTGCCCAAGTGAGTCTTTCTGTGGCAACAGTCAGCTGAACTGGATCGCCGGATGCATGCGTGACAAAGCCTATGACGAATTGTTTTCGTGACCGCCATTGTATAGTGGAACGTTTCTCGGTTCGGTGTGAATATCGCTACGCTATAAACGCTAAATTTGACACTGAGCATATCAGGAAAACACAACGTATTTCAACAGCTATACACTCATAGAGACGTGTCCGTCACGCTCTAACAGCAACGAGAGTTTAGGCTTCGTTTTAGTTTCTCATTGCTTATTCCCCAAATACTGTCGAAGTTCTATGCGAAGTCATTGCTTCTGAGCTCGCGCCGTGTAGAGTACACTTGCGGAAGTTCACCGTGCGACACGTTCACCTGCTGCAGTCAAACTAACCGAACGCTATGTCTGGGCCCTGATGCCGCAAGTACTTTTTATTATTTCTATTATTACAGCATGAGACATTCACACAGAGTGCGGGTCGACTGACGGACCGACCTCTACTAGTTGCTGCTGCTGCGGCCATTATTAACGCATTCATCATGCATCCACGCCGCTACATTCCACGTGTTCAGACAGCAGCAGTCTAGAGGCTGGAGGGTGACTGAGGCCGTTCTTTCTATCTCCTCCAATATCAGCTATCACAGACGGACGAGCTAGACACCGGCGGCGCTCTAACAACGAGCTGAAACAGCCGGCCAGCTCGGCAGACAAGTAAATACTCGGTGGGCGACAGTCCCGTCTGTTAACGAGATCGATTTATCGAGCGGCTTTGTGAACTTTCGAGGCTTGTTTTTAGTTAAATCGTGTTGTGGCTATCTCGTGAATTACGTGTGAGTGTGTGCCTGTTTGTCAATAGTATAATAGGATAACAAATCGTAGTCGTACGGCTTTTACCATCGTCGCTGGGTTTAAGTTCGCCGGATGCTCTCACTGCTGATATTAGAAACGCCGATGTTCTTCATCGTTACGTAATTCAGTGGAAAGTGAAGCTAGTACCAGACATGTCTTTATCGATCATTCAATGTCGGTCATATCCTGTATGTTCATACATGAAGAAAGTATAAGACGATATTTGCGAGTGAGAAATAAACGTAAAACGGCAAGCAAGCGGATAGACATGCGTTACTGTTGTAATCGGATAGTGAGAAAGTTTGTTTAGCTGATTCGCGGATCGAGATGTCGGGCTACATATGTGTGTGTGCTTCATAAAGAATATCTCTGTGGGGACATGTTGCACATGTCTAAAGCAAGCCATCTTTACACACGCACACATCACTGACAGCTCACAGCTATGGTACCTACGAAATTCCATACGAACCGTGGTATCTTATGGATCGTAGATAATCCGTAGACCCCAGGTTGTTTTTATGATACTAGCATACTCATGCACGAAGCGTTATTGCTATATACATCCCATATGATGAGTTGTAACTAGCAGAATCAGTCTACAAGGAAATGGTGTACATTCTACGATCTGCATTGCTATAGTTCATCATGGCATAGGCGGTCACTGATCTACTCTGTCGTGCTACTCATGAGTGGACACATCACGACCTAGAGCAACCGGAGCAGGCTACTGGGGCGCAAAATACAGAAATACAATATTTTATGTTCAAGCCTCCTTTCTATATTACATTTGCGGAAACCAGGGTACATGAATTATTAGGACACAGGCGTTTCTAACTCGCCCAAAAAAGGTCGCCCCGTTTTCGAGGATGTAGTCCTTCCGAATGCTAGCCACTACCAGAGCGGTCGTTACGAAGAGTCGCAGCAATGACAGCATAGCTGATCAGAAAAGTTTGGAAATTTCTACGTTCGTGTAAAAGTTTCATGTCCGGTACTGTCGTTTAGCATAATTTTAGGCGGCTAATCACCAGCATGAAGCGTTGTGTCCTCGCCCAGTGTTGAACCTAGACCATTTAAAAGCTCGTCAGTTCACTAGAAAACACGTTATCAGTACACTATCACGAGGACATCGCAAACCCATCTGGGAGATCTAGGACCCATTGACAATAATGCATACAGCCGGCTTGCTACTAGGTCAGCGCAACGCCTACAACTTGTGTCTTTCGTTGTAAAACTGATATCGGGCCTGCGCAAAGAAGAGAGAAACAGCAAAGAAGCGATAGTACACTAGCATAGAGCTGAAGGCAGGCCAAGGGACAGCTGTCACTCATTTAATATTTGCTTTCGCTCTACTTAAGGACACTGTGATAGGCCTACTTCAAACTGTGTGCATTCACTGAAATCTATCTGAAATCATCCAGCCGTGCAATCAGTGTAATCCCAGCATGTGGATGAAATCTTGTGTCCGAACCGAACAGGAGTACCACTTTGAGGATTGCTGTTAATATTGCCGTCCGCTGAAAGCTTCACCAAGAAGTGTGGCACGAAGACTCAGTCAATAGGAAAAAAGAATCTAAGGGGGAAGCAAGCCACATGATATTAGTTACAGAAAGCCATTGACATTAATGTATCTATGTTTTTGTGTACGGTAATGGAATGCTTCGATTAGCAGAAAAAAGAAGATTATCGCCACCATAGATGGATGCGCCTTCGTCTCGGAACTACTGGTAATTTTAGGTCAGCTAAGATTAAGCATGAACAATGGACATGAACCAGCTGTAATAAGGAGGGATCTATGGCAGCTTTTCTAAGCCCTATCACATGTCAAGTAATAGGGTGAAATTTAATTTTGCGTTATCATGTGACCCAGTGTATCTGACAGAGCAGGAAAATGACATTATTTATGTACATAATGGATTGATTCGTTTAATATTTGAACAAATTTTCCTTATAGAAAGAACATTTATCAACAATCCTGCTAAGTATTTCTAGTTCAAAGTGAGGTACCGCCAGGAAGTTTAGTCCAGCCCGCTGGAAACTTACAGCAGCTCAATAAAGTTTCCAGCGGGTGTGTCCTGACAGTGACCACATACCAACAACGTTTAGACTTTCAGTTACAGTATCTTGCTTCGGGAAGGTAGGAATCACAGCGGCGCTGGCTGGCCACTTGCATGCCTATATAACTTTGTTGGAAGAGAGAACTTTCTATGAGCTTCGAAGCACGATGTCATTAACAACGTCGGAAAAGTTTTGTTCATAAACCGTAGCGCCAATAACTTGTAGTTTATTCAAGCTATACAATATTTTAAATTATGGGTATACAGGTATTATATAACGTTGGTACGGATAACAAGTGATTGGATTGTCGCATTTATGCGTAAACCACCTTCCTCATGGGGTGAGCAAAAGAATTAAGTGATATATATATATATATATATACATATATTCCATGATTCTGATTTGTCATAATTACTACTTAACCAGTTTCATTAGCCTGTTCTAATATAAATGAATTTGATTCGCCTTATATCTGGTCTATTGTAAATTATGGTTGGGTCGAAGACCTGTACCTTTACAGCTAGCGGGTTAAAATTCTGCAAGACCAACCCGTTAGCTATCCCATTAGCTATGGGTCTTTTCATGACCGTGAATCTATTAGCAACATTCATTGCGCTCTTCCGTTAAAACGTTACAATAGTCCTACTGCCGTTATCATGTCGGCGTGCTACATTAATCAACGTACTGCATGTATTCAGCTGCCTGAGGAAATAGCAGAGTTCAAGTTCGAAATCGCTATTGCAGCACATATAAATTATACTTAGCTTGTAAATGTAAAATCAACCTCTAGCCTAGTTGCCTAATTTATAACTTTTCGTAGTTATTCCTGTTAATTTCAAACAGTCCTACCGCTTGAAGAAAGGGGTAGTCAACCCATCATTTGATCATCCATATTAGCCATTGCTTCACCAACCATTTCGTAAATTAGCCAAATTGGCATGACCCATTCGTATATAGAAAAGTGTTCGCGGAGTGACTGTCAATTGCGCTAGATCATATGGCGTCAATTAGTTTATAATTGATACACGTCATTTTTCATTCATTCGTTCGTTTATTATTAGTAAATCGGAAAAACCAAAGGGTTATTAATTGGCCGGCAAATGCGCCCATTTGACACTCATTACTGTGCAGATAAACATAGACGAATTACACAAATTTGTTTAGCAAAGCGGCAAAAACTGTTGCGCAAGATAAAATGTTTCCGAACGAGTATTATACTCGGTAAGAGAGAAAAACTACTTGCCAAAGAAAGCATTTATTCAGCCATAGAAAATGAATGGTATTTGCCGGGATGATTTCATCTATTATTGTACGAAAGCGTTAAATTAGCATTACGCCCCTTTACAAGGCAACGAAACTGGCCACCTATAAACAAGCATTACTACACTGATTGATCATAGACCACGATAAGAATCGTCATTTTTCTTTCTGGATCGTATTCATTGTGCTTTTTTTTAAGCTCGAAAAAACGATTTATTTGTAACGTTTCACCACTTGTCAACGCTTGTCAAGGGAGTCGCACGAAATAACGAATTAAGCCTTTCTCAGGAGAAAATTGAAAACTTTCTAAAAATGAGTCTTGAGTCCGCGGGGCCGATTTGACTCAGATAGCTATCTAAATATATAGCATGTGTAGCACATAAATTGCGAAAGAGTTTGCATAAAATACATGATCGGAAGCGTTAGAAGCCATCACCGTTTTCTTCAATGCACCGCACACTAAATAAGGTGAGCAATTGATCCCTAAGCTCATTTCCTGTCCTTATGCATTCTGGCTCAGTTGTGGCCTTTAGAAGCGTGCAGGAGCCCTATCCTGCTGGAAGTATCTTCATCGAAGCGCTTCTGAATACGGACTAGGACAGATTTCAAATAATTTGGCAAGAACGGTTCGTTGATCGTTTTCTTGAAATGGGCCGAACTGTAATCCCTGGTCAATTTACGTGGTGTCCCGGCGTAACATGTAGCTTTATATACTAGCCCAGTAAGTTCAGTCATGTCCCTTAATCATGCCATTTGTCTTGAATATAGTTTCATCGCTTTACACAGTCCTCCTTGAAAATCCTCTATTCCGATTATCTTTCTGCAAGTACCATTCGAAAAATTGTTTTTTTTTTCAGCCCGAATAATTTTGTAAGTAAATTGCCGGGATTTTTCATTCTCAAAGTTCTTAAATATGATGGAAGTTTGGCTCTCTAGTGCCAGATCTACGACTGGATAGAATTCTGAAAAATCTTCGGCAGCTCTTTATTAGATTTGGCTGACACTTTCGTCTTTTCGAATGTTATCAATTCAGTTTGTTAGTAGGCGAATCTGCCCGAAACTTCCTACGACTTTTTTTTTTTAATTTTAATTAAAGTTAAGCTTGGTCCTATTATGATTTCCAGTTACCTACGTGCTGACCCTTAAGGATAGTACGTGCTGCTGAAATTTTGTGATCACCTAGTTGACTGTTGAATTTTTATTATTTGTCACTAGACTAGTTACGGAGGTGTTCTTGCAAGCCATATCGCATAACTCACAGCCGACTGTGTAACAGCAGTTTAATAGGCGACCCGTTTATTTGCGTTTTATAAGTGATTTCGTACCGGCGAACTTTTTGCAGCAACTAAACAACAGTTGCTGTTTGGCAAAGCATCTGGAAATATCGCCCATATGTGTTCACCCATATGGCCACCGCCGATGCTTTAAGCACTAGCGCGCATAGGTGGGCCTCTGTAAACGACTTTTATTATACAAAGCTAAACGAGCACCAAACATGCGTAACGTTAATCCTTAGAACACGATCAGATAGCTGCCATGAGGACGAAAGGTCTATAATAATATAAAATACACTCTAGGGTGACTCAGACACTTTCAGTAAAACTCTCGGAATCGTAAAGTATTACAGTAGGACGACTATGACGACATCAGCCGGCCTGGACTAAATATCTGCTGTTACTGTTCATCAAACGAAATTCTATAAGCTAGAGTGATCGCACTGATCTGCCTGTTGCTCTCAGACGTACCGATTTTTCTAGGGCGCCGACCTGAACATTCAAGATTTCGGATTATAAGGGATTTGTGTTTTTAGCTTTTGGCATTCACCGGTTAATCCGTATACATTAATTTAATGTGATTTGTGTAGCCGTTCTTTACATTCGAGCAGTATTCACGTTGAGATAATGGCAAGCCTAATACAAACTAATAAAGTTAAAAAACTAATTTAAAAAAGTACTCACGCAGCATATATAACGGTGTATTAATTGCGATTACCTCATTAAAGGTCCCTTACAAGTGGGAGGTCATTAATACGGGATGTCTTGAACTGGTGTGAGTGGTTTGATCAAGCAGCGCATACAGAGAAATCTTACAGTCTGCTCATTGCTGGGGCATTTGCAATCGTTTGCAATTAAAAAAAGAAGCTATAAATAAAGTTCGTTTAACCAAACCTGCCTTATCGATACTAAAGCAAGGCCTGTTAGGTAAATATGTATTCAATACATACCTTATCCCCGATGAATTATGTAAACCAAACATTTGTCTATTTTAAAGCAAAAGCTGCAACCAAGCCCTTGTCGGGTACAGTCAGGTCAACAATTACGGATCCAGGACGATCATAGGTGTAGTTCATTCGCTGATCGCGTCTTCTGCTCCGATGAAACTCATTGTCACTTACTGAGTGGCTGGGTGAATAAATAAAATACCTGTATTTGGGATTCGAAGAAGCTCCAAGGGTGAGCATTGACCGGCGACTCTTCTCATAAAAAGGTATTATGTGGTACGGCTTATGGCGCGAAAATGTTATTGGACTTTAATCCTTCGAAAATATGGATGGAAGAGCGGTAACAGTCAGTGACGAGTTCTGCCGTGATATGTTACAGACCTTTCTGTAAACTGAAGTCAGGGCACTGAATGCAATCCCGCTTGACCTCTAGCAAAATGAAGTGCATGAACTAACGTCGAAAACAATCCATAATCTGAAACAGTGTGCTCATAACGTGACCGATAACACGTAGCGCCATCATTCAAAATTACACGAGACGTATCAAGTTAAGCAAGCGGCCTCTGAGATGACGACGACGACGACGACGACTACTATTAATTGGGGTTGTTTTTAATCTGTAGTGCAAACTGAACTCTCCAGGTTGCATCTCTTGCGTTTTACATCTATTCAGGGGCTTTTGGCTAAATCATTTATTGAATCGGCCTGACCAGGTGGAGCTTCCACAGCGGAGTCAAATGGGGCTCTGGTTTGAATTTTAGGTATTTGATACATGTATTAAAAAAACCATCAAACATATAATCCAGATTGAAAAAACAGACAAAAGAAACCAGTTATCGCATATATGAAGTTATTCTACCCTACCTAATTACCAAAAACTCCGATGGATAACTGCCGTGTTAAAAATTGTTATTTATATTTTACGCCCTAAAGAAATGTTTCTTTTCGCTCGACGATTCAGCCGAATCTTAGCTCCGCTCGTGTGCCCCCATTAAGCGAGCCTACTCAGCGTGGGAAGAAAATGTGGGCCAATGCTGCTGGATTTGCACACAAAGTACACTCAGTTCAGGCAGGCCGGTTTCTTGCAGAACGAAGGACAAGAAACATAAAGAAAAGGCTAAAACATACACGTACCCATTTTAAATTTGGCTCTTTCCCTGTTCTTTCCAGGATCATTCAACTGCACTT